TACGAATGTGGGTCTGTTTTACATCAAAATGCGGGTTTTTCCATATACTAATCAATTCAGCTGCTACCTTTTTGATTGGTTGATTTTGGAGCTATTTATAGGGGTTTTTGTGCATGTACGTGTGCTGAAATATGAGGAAAGCCATACAAACATTGACCTCACCGATGATCAAAAATTCCAAATTGACCGGGGTAAAAAATAATCTACGAGATCCAGAAAACTAAAAACATTGAAAGGAGATGTTATTCTATCGTTTTCCGTTGCTACCTTTTTCATATTGTTAGAAGAGATGAATATATCCAACAAAATGTACAAAAAAATGTTCAAAATTGCGTGTTTRACCGTGATTTAGGAGGGGGCGTGAGCGTCAGTTTCCTTTTGTTGACCTTTTGTTAAGCGTAAGTTTCATATGATTTGAAGTGGGTATCAAGTACAGCGTTAAGTGCCTTCCTTAACTACAGAAGTGAATGTCAGACCTTGGCCGTTAGGTTGTGAAAAGGGCCTGGTGCCTGGGGGTATGTGGGTGGGGGCGTGGCGCGCAAGTAGGACCAGGTTTTGTCCTCAACCTCTGAAAGGCGAATAAGGTTACTTATCGGTGTTCCTGTATATCGTTTCAGGTGTCCTGTGTTTGTCTGCATTACTTGCCGTGTTGATCCATGTCCTCATCTGAGACATATATACTGACTGCCTTGCTAATTGAACCAACCGATTCCTGCATAATGTCTTGCCAAACAGCTAACACTATTTTTCTTATAGAGGCTTTGCACAATCACGTGATGGCAGCCATGACAGGAGGCAGGACAAGTGAATCTGATCTAATCTGATTTACACGTGAAATAATTCAGTTTCCCAGGGGAAAAAGATTCTATCGTTGTGTCTCCTGTCATGGCTGCCATCACGTGATGGTTCAAAGCTACTTTTCGCCTTAAAAGTAAAACTAATGCAACATTTGCTACTGCTGACCCTCAAGGATTTTAGCATAGAAGAAAAAATCATATATAGAATGACGTCATAAGCTGCCAATTAAACTGCCACTACTAAAACGAGGAACGGTGATTTTGTTTAAAGATAAGCTTAATAAAAAGTGTTCTTGTATTTGAAAGTTTTTTGTTGTGAGCTTCATGTTAGAAGCTGTGAAAGATATCAATTTTCTCTTGTGTGACATAGTGCCTCTTGGTCCATCAATGGCTGATAAACCGACCTCTTTAGTCCGCAATCCAGTTAAGAGCATAAATTCTGTTACAGCCGGATGGGGGCATCGTTTCTGATCAATAATTTCTAAAAAATTGGAAAGGGCCATGATATATTTTCAGGTACATGGACGATACGTTCATCCAATCCATTTTAGGTACATTCTTATTCCTATACGTTCATCCAATCCATTTCTTATTTTTCAAGCAAAAATTGAAAATCCGTCACTTTGTCATTGCCAAGAAGCCCCATAACGTACGCCTCAGACTAACGAAATGTTGTGTACTATTTAGCACAGGTAGCCCAAGCTTGGTTTCTGTGGTGTCCTTTCATAAGGAAATGTATGGGGATTTATCAAAAAATTCAATAAAATCATTGAAACGTAAAAGAAATACTGGGAAGAAAAATCTTAAAACGGGCTAAATTCAAAAAATAACCACACAGAGCGAAAGAAGTGCTATTTATCAATGATCGGGTAAAATTTCGAGGCTTTATTTCACGTTTCAATGATTTTATTGAATCTGTGGCGAGACCGGCCCCCGAGGTTATCGAAAGGCGAGTGGCCGGCGAGTGCCCTCGCCTACGACTACTGCTACACCCATGGATAAAGTAGCCTTCAAAAAGTTTCTATTACTTCCGTTTTACTAAACTTGGCATTTTTCCTTTCTTTCCTTTCTCTTCTTCCTATTTTTCCATTTTTCCATTCGACAATCGTTTGACCTAGGCCTACAGTATTTGCAGTCAGCGTTAAATCACCTTAATTCAAAATGGCGACTGCAACAGGAGAAGAAGAGGAAGGCGATACACTGTCGAACAAGTGGATAACACAGTCAGTTAACCCATCCACATCAATAAATATACCCAAAAAGCAACTATTCTGGAAAACTGAAAGGTCTAATTTACTGAATATTTCAAAATTATGCATCAAAAACCTGATAGAATCGGCCCTTGAGTTGGCTAAGGTTATTGGAGCTGACCACGAACCGTTTCAACAGTTTTTTGTTGTGATTGAGAACGTTTTACGCCATGGTTTGAAACGTAAGTCTTAATGTTTTACTTCTTATCGTGTAGTTTAAAAGTTAAATAAACTACTCACTGAATTTAAGAGCAGCAATCAAAGTATTCAAATATTTATATATCGAGTTCGTCACATGAGTGATAATAATAATAATTTAATCAAATAAGACTTTTTTTTAATTACTCCGAAAGTAAAACGCAATATTCTTGGCCAAAGACGTGATTATTGGGGACCTCTAGAAGTAATAGACCGTATTTCACCTGATGCATCTGAAATTACTCGAAGTGTGAAAAATCTACCTGGAATCAAGTAAGATTTCTTCTTTTTCAATAATCGTAGCTTTCTTTGAAGAAGATATGAATTATTTTTCATATATTTTTGCCACCAGAACTAACTATGGCAGGGGTAGAGCTTGGGTCAGACTTGCTCTGATGCAGAAAAAACTGGCTGATTATGTTAGAGATTTAGTAGAAAATAAAGAATTTTTGTCGTAAGTATTTTTGTTAAATTTTTGATGTATATATTTGTCAATTCCAAGGTAGGAAGTGTCATTAATCACTCCTCGGAACCTCYCCACCCCTAGGAAATTCTAACCCCCCCCCCCCTTCCATGGGGGAGGTATGGATATTTTCTGGAAGTACACGATATACCCCCTCAGACCCTCCCCATCCCTAGGAAATTTCAAACGTTTTTACAATGGAGGTATGGATATTTTTATAATTATCATCGTTCTGAGGCCTATGTTTGACTTGTTTATCAGTGAATGGTACGATAACCATGCATTACTCATGCAGGAGGAAGGAGCTGTGATATCTGGCTTATTAGTTGGCATTAATGTTATTGATTGTAACTTTGATCTCAAGGGAGATGATCTCGACACTTGGGTGAGTGACAGAACAGACCTCTTTACCTTGAAAATAATGTTTTCCATTTGAAACACCTTCTCATTCTCTTGAATATTATTCCTTTTATGGACCCTTTTACTTTGGGGGTGTTTTCTCATTTCAGACCACGTGTCATTCTCTTGAGAATAATATTCTTTGTTTGAGTTGTATCCATATTAATTTGTCTTCTCGTGTGCAACTAAAAGAAATGAAACTTTAGGTAATGACATGTGGTCTGAAAAGGAGAAAATTTTGCCCAAGCTTAAGAGGTATATTTCTCTTAAATAACTTAACAGTAGACTGTTATTGCTTTTACATTTCAAAAATATAATATTAGTTCATTATTTAAAGAATTTCTATTCAACCATAATGCACTTCAAGTGGAAACATTGCAATGCAGCTATGCATTGTGCGATTTTCTCTGCCAGGCAATGACAGTTTCGTAGGTGAAGTTTGGAAATCCGGTTCTATCAGTCTTGTTATTCTGGTTTGTTAGTCCTGCTAGATGTTTTACGACAATCATGAAAACTGGAATGATTTTGATCATTGTCATATTCTTTGATCTACAGTCAGGAGTCTTAGATCTTGGTCTTTACCTCAAGGAAGGCAATTACCTGGAGAAGACCAGCATTACTGATGACAATAAGTATGTATTGGGAGGTAGAACAGTTTTTGTATGACTGTGAAATTGCTCACAGCACAAAAACATGGTCGTGACACAGCAAGGGAAGAGCAATCACATTGCTTGAGAATTTACTATCCATCCAATCAAATACCTGGAACATGACATAAATACAGTGCAGACATTGTCTTGCCAATGTCACTGCACTGTCAGACCAATCACATTGCACAAGAAAAAAACTCAGCCAATTAAAATTCTAGAAAACATCACAGTCATGGCACGGCATGCTTACAGCACTGAGCTGGGTCATGTGAAAACTGCTCTATTGTGCCCTAGTTCACTCTCACATGTAATATTGTTATGATTTTGATCTGATCTTAGGTCAAGTTCTGAAAACACTACAGATCTTACAGTACTAATAGATCAGAAAACATACCTGGAAGAGGTCAACAAAAATTTAAGGTAAGCTATTAATTTAAAATGCGCCATAATATAACCTTCTAAAATAAGCTTAATCAATTTTCAATTTTTTAATTTCTCTCAGTTCTACAGTTTCTGATCTTCAAGCCAAGGTGAAAGGATTACAGCAAAACAACCAAGAACTCACAGATGAGGTATTTAAAGCTAAAGATTTTTTAAATATTGTTTTTATGAACATCCTAATTGCCCTATTTCACTATGACGTCACTGCTTGTTTGTGTGGGGGATAGAATCGCCAAATCCAATAGAAATATCAACAAAATTTGCTCCTAGCGAAACAGTTTAATCTAAAGTTGCCTGGTTTTCAGATATGTGTTAATATGTACTAAAAGATATTCTGAGTGTTTGCTGGCTATTCTACTTCTCTTTGTAGATTGATACGGATTTTAGAATAAATTTTCGGTGAATTTGCATTGATTTGACCCCCTCCGATGACCATGATCCTTTGCGTTTAAACAATAGGTTGTTTTGATGTGACGTCATAATGAAATAGGGCAATTGCAAAAATATTTATTTATTACTTAGAGCATTTTTTCTTATTTTTAACCTGGTTTTGTTTTTAGTTTGAAAATTATAAGAAAACTATGGAGACTGTGGCCAATGAAAGGGATGTGCTTAAAACAGAGAATGATAAGATGAACCAATTAAGTGCAAAGAAAATCCAGGTACAAACTTTCCTACTTACTGTTAGGGGTGGGGTGGGTAGGAGACTCTAAGGGGAGGGGTAAGGAAGTTTTCAAGATTGGTTTAATTAGGTTAATAATTTTTTTGTTGCCTCAAATATCCAAGACCAATCTTCTTAATTAAGGCTATCAGTCAGCTAAATGAGTCTCATGAATCTCATTACCAGCTGTCTACAATGACAGGCAAACACTGCCTGTCATGTGCTATCAACCAGAGAGTATTCTGTTGCTTGGTATCAATCAGCTGAATGAATCTCATGAATCTCATTACCAGTTTACAATGACAGGCAAACACTGCCCATCATGTGCTATCAACCAGAGAGTATTCTATTGCTTGGTATCAATCAGCTGAATGAATCTCATGAATCTCATTACCAGCCTACAATGACAGGCAAA